TTAATCATAGAATCATAGAATGTTAGAGTTGGAAGGGACCTTACAGGTCACCCAGTCCAACCCCCTGCAGTCTGCAGGAGCATAGCCGAAAGATAGCCCTACAACATACCCAAAAGATGGTCGTCCAGCCTCCGCTTGAAAACGTCCAGCGAAGGCGCATCCACCACCTCCCGAGGCAGACTGTTCCACTGCTCAACCACTCTTACAGTTAGGAAGTTTCTCCTGATATTTAGCCGGTAACGACTCCCTTGTAATCTTGACCTGAAGAAACCATTGAGTTTTTCTTGTTGCAGGAGAAACCTCAACTACTTTTCCAATGCTTATGCTGCCGCTGTCAGTGCTGTAGACCCAGATGCTGGAAACGGAGAGCTGTGTATTAAGGTGCCGTCAGAGCTGTGGAAACAAGTCGATGGTAAATTGTAGAGACCCTGTGGATTCTTAAAGGCCTTACAGATTTTGAACCCCAGTCCAGAATCTTTTTATGTGGGCAGTTTGTGGTTGGGCCACCGATGGATACTGCAATGCCAGTGAAGAGCTGCTATATAGAAAATTGTCTTTCAGTTGGGAGTCATAGGTTATCTTCAAAGATCTCAGCTTTGGTGTAGTGGTTAAGTGCGTGGTCTCTAATCTGGGAGAACCGGGTTTGATTCCCCACTCCTCCACTTGCTTGAAAAAGAGCAGTTTCTGTCAGAGCTCTCTCAGCCCCACCTACCTCACAGGGTGTCTGTCATGGGGAGGGGAAGGGAAAGGAGTTTGTAAACCGCTCTGAGACTCCTTTGGGTAGTGAAGGTCAGGGTATAAATCCAATCTCTTCTTCTCTCTTCACAAACAATTGTATTTCAGTCTCCCTCCTCCTCCAGTTGTTAATCTGGATGGCTTTTGTAATGCTGAATATTAAAAGCAGTTGATACATTAATGTGGCAGAGCTCTTCCGCTCAGTGAGTGTCAGCGAGAAGGGTGGATTATAAATGAAGTAAGCTTATAAATAAATAAATAAATAAATAGGAGCTTCATAGGAGCTTCAATGTGTGGTTGCTGTTTTATTGCTACAGAGCTAAAGGCCCTAAAAGTGCACATCAACTTTTCTCTGGACCAGCCAAAAGGAGGCCTTCATTTCGTGGTACCCAACGTGGAAGGCAGCCTGGCAGAAAGAGGGGCCCACGTCTTCTCTTGTGGATATCAGAATTCTACCAGGTGAGAGTTGTACAGTTTTGCCTCCACGGTACCTGCCTAATGTAATTCTCCTTGAAATTTTGTTTTCGCTATCGACAAAGTGCTACGACACTTTTGGTTATTTCTTCGTATCTTTAGAACCGCTTCAGAGTTAATGTTATCCCTGTATAGGGGCTGGAGTGAATCTCTGTGCACTGTCCTGTGCAGAGATGGTAACTGTCCCTGTGTTGCGAAGAGCCAGTGGTAAAGTGTTATTTATAGATATAGAATCATAGAGTTGGTAAGGGGCCATGCAGGCCAACTAGATTCTTTTGAACTATGGTGCTGGAGAAGACTCTTGAGAGTCCCTTGGACTGCAAGAAGAACAAATCAGTCAATCCTCAAAGAAATCAACCCTGACTGTTCCCTGGAAGGCCAGATAATGAAACTGAAGCTCAAATACTTTGGCCACCAAATGAGAAGGGAGCACTCACTGGAAAAGACCCTGATGCTGGGAAAGATTGAAGGTCAAAGAAGACGGGGACGGCAAAGGATGAGATGGTTAGACAGTGTCAGCGATGCAACGAACATGAAATTGAGCCAACTTCGGAGGACGGCGGAAGACAGGAGAGCCTGGCGGGAGATTGTCCCTGGGGTCGCGAAGAGTCGGACTCGACTGTGCGACTGAACAACAACAACAAGGCCAACTAGTCCAACCCCCTGCTCAATACAGGACCGGCATAGAGCATCCCTGACGGGTGTTCATCCAGCTGCTGCTTGAAGACTGCCAGGAAGTTCACCACCTCCCTAGGCAGCCAGTTCCACTACTGAACTACTCTTCCGGTAAAAAAATGTTTTCCTGATAGCCCTCCAGGACCTTTCCACCCGTTATTTAAACCCCTTATTGGGAGTTCTGTCCTCTGCTGCTAAAAGGAACATCTCCTTGCCCTGCCCCAAGTGGCAGCCTTTCAAATACTTAAAGAGAGCAGTCATGCCCCCCTCAGCCTCCTCTTCTCCAGACTGAACATTCCCAAGTCCCTCAGCCTTTCCTTGTAAAGTGTATATAAGATCCTCTTGGCTCTGACGTTCAAAGGTAGCCTGAGCTGGCTTTTGAGTAAGTCAGTAAGATGGCTTTAGTAAAGGTAAAGGTTCCCTTGCTCGAAAGCCAGTCAAGTCCGACTCTAGGGTTGCGGTGCTCATCTCCGTTTCAAAGCCAAAGAGCCAGCTCTGTCCGAAGACGTTTCCGTGGTCATGTGGCCGGC